CGGGGGTTGTGGTTTTTGTTATCGTCGGTGAAGATCTTCTTGACGCCTCCACTACTAACTACACAAATCCGGGGCCTCTGCACTCTCTGTGAAGCCGACACTGATGGAAGCCATGATGTCACACGCGACAGACGATAAAACTGTGTCAAATGGGAAAACTCGTGTGAAGTGCCTTTCCTAATGATAAAATGTCGGCTCGAATTGCCGAGCAAACCTCACGATTTCGGATCCGGTAGCCGAACTATTATTTTTATCACCAGTGCCACGAGAGAGAGAGAGAGAGAGAGAGAGAGAGAGAGAGAGAGAGAGAGAGAGAGAGAGAGAGAGAGAGAGAGAGAGAGAGAGAGAGAGAGAGGGACAAACAGATAGACTGACAGGCAAACGGACAGACAGGATCAGAAATAAAAATCTACTACAGACGCTGAAAGTAAACTGTGGCAGCTAAAGGAGAATGGTAAATATTTTGCAGAGGAGGGGCTTGCATTTGAGAAGTGTAAACAATTGGCTGACTATTAGAAGTGACACAAGAGAAGTCTTTCGTCTCCCCGGTGAAGAAATGCTAACAATGGCGTTTCCCGGCTCTCAAAGTATTGATCAATAAAAGTTGTCACACGCGAGAGATAGAGAAACAGAAAAGACAAAGTAATGAAATGAGAGAAATATTAGAATCTATATGTTTCACTTTTTTTTTCCGATACCCTACTTAAGGTGAGGGGGGGGGGGGGGCTATCGGGTTTGTTTGGGGTTGTTGTTTTTTGTTTTTGGGGGGTTTTTTTTTGGGGGGGGGGGGGGGGAAGGTGTTGTTTGTTGTTGGGTTTTTTTTGGTATTTGTTTTTTGTTTTTGTCTTTTTTTGGGGGGGTGGGGAGGGGGTTAGTTCACCATTATTACTATTAATATTCATTTTAAATGTATTTTTACTCTCTTTTTCAAAATCTGAATCTCGACAATTTAACGCCTTTATTCTAGCAGGTGGAGCAATATTGGTGGATAGCACATTCACCAACCTTCCTCGAACAAATAAATAAAACATCACACGAAACCCCTGTTATTGTGGATTCAAACAGCGATGTCCCACCCCACTGCTAAGTGCTCTATGAACTATGCCAGTGGTGCAGACCTTTCCGGCATGTCGAGTCAGTCGCACAATAATAGCTACATTTCTAAAATTCTAAACGGAAATGTTTTTACTCCCCCATCGACACAATTTAGATCCTGGTTGGGAGACGAGCTTTGTCAGGTCCGACTCGGACGGAGAGGAAATCTACTTTTTCTATGTCTACCGCCCAGGCACATCTTATTCATAATCATAATTGACAACGAAAGACAGCCAAAGACTGTAATATAGCTGCCAAAGGTCATTTGTCGCCCCATCTATTCGTTTTCCTGTTCTATGGACTGCAAGACGAATATCGTGCTCAAACATTCACTTCTACAATTACAACCGATCCGGGAGCTCACAGTAAACACCATTATTATTTGCTGCACTTATTTGAACCTGACCAAGACTGGGGCGCACATAAAATGCTCTATAAATCTGCAACAAAGTGGATTTGTTCCGTAATTTCTAGAGGGATTAAATCTTGGAGGGGCGATAGAAGAGAGTTAGAGATGAAGGTGTAAGAGCGAAAGAGCGGGAGAGAGGAGAGAGAGAGAGAGAGAGAGAGAGAGAGAGAGAGAGAGAGAGAGAGAGAGAGAGAGAGAGAGACAGACAGACAGAGAGAGACAGACAGACAGAGAGAGACAGACAGACAGACAGACAGAAAAGGAGAGACAGAGAGAGAAAGAGAGAGAGAGAGAGAGAGAGGGGGGGGGAGGCGATAAAAGGAGGGGGGATAGAGTAGGGAGGGAGGCCAGAGCGTGCAAGAGGGACCTGTCAAAATGGTGTACGTGTGTGTGTGTGTGTGTGTGTGTGTGTGTGTGTGTGTGTGTGTGTGTGTGTGTGTGTGTGTGTGTGTGTGTGT